TAGACATGGTTTTACTCCTGGTTTAGCCCATAATGTGAAAACAGGAAACTACCGCCGTGTAATCCATTTATTTCAACAAAGTAACTGTAATCCAATTACCACTCACTGAAACAGTAACTGTAACTGAATACAGTTACTCATAATTTGTACTCTGATTACATAACTCCGGTACATGTAATCTGTTACTCCCCAACACTGACTGTTGTATATGGAATTTTCTGTTGTTTAACAGAAAATTCCATATACAACAATGATGACGTTTCGTCGACCACATTGTCAACATACTGCACACTTCACAATCACAACTGCTAGAGATCGAACATTTATGTAGATTTGTCAAACTGAACGCATTCTGTACTGTACAGGAGACACGGCACGGAGGAGATTGATTGACAGTGGTCTACAGAGCCTTAGCTGGGTGGAGGAACACAATGCGCGTTCATACAAATCTGCGAAACAGCGAGGCCGCGAAAGATGAACCACGTTATAGTGAGGGACAACTGTATTTTATATTTTGTATATTTTATCATCCCACCCGCTCACTCTTGCACTGTTTTGCGTTGGGTGGAGGGCTCTACTTCATACATCTTCACATAGACAACATTGAACACACACACACATACATTCAAGCACACACACACACACACACACCAACATACACACAGCACACACACACACACATACACACACACACACACACATACACAGACACACACACAGCACACACACACACACACATACACACACACACATACACACACACACACATCACACACACACACACACAGCAACACACACACACATAACACACAGACACACACACACACACACAGACACAGCACACACACATACACACACACACACACGACACACACACACACACACACACACACACACACACACACACACATACACACACACACACACACACACACATACACACACACAGCACACACACACAGACACACACACACACACACACACATTGCACACACTCTACACACACACACATGCTCAAGTTTAAACATCATCACTTCATGACATCACAACAAGGTTTGGTCCAACATTTTGAGACTGTTGGATCAGTGTCATACAGCACTAATGCATTGTTACAAGTGTTCATGCTGCACATATTTCCAAAGATCTTGTAACAACTCCATATACAAATCTGTTTTTGAGGAGGTAACAACATTATAACATGACCCAAACGGTGTGTAATTTTTTGTCAATATAGGATCTTTCCATATCGGGTAGCTTGAAAAATCTTTGTTTAAAATACTTGCAAATGTCTTTGTACAAATTTTAATGGAGATTTTAAATGGCTCTAACCCTAACGTTCATGGATATTTTTGAGTCATGGTGACAAAATTGTAAACTCTGTCTCCTGATCGTGAGAAGATCTTGGGTTAGATTCATGGACTTCTTGAGATCCTCCTGTGCTGAGTTTTTATTTATTGCGTTTTGACAGGTTTTGCACTCATAGTCCTGTATGTGACAGGTTTTCAAAATTCAAAAGTGGGACACACTCGGTTAGGAAGGCTGGTATAAATAAAACTGTGAAAAGAGCGCGTATCATTGTGCATTCTCGTGTCAGTCGTGATCTGAGGGACTTTTGACGCTGCACTTTTTGCTTTAAGGTCATTCGCAAACACGGTTTTCTGTATTTTGGCAAAACAAATGACAATTTACGCTCCTCTCTACTGTCAAAAACTGTGAGAGTCATGTTTTAGTACTGGTTTAGATCAAATTGGTACAAAATAAGGACACCTGGGACATTTCTTGTATAAAACTGGGACAAATCAGTGGTTTTGTATAAATCCGCTGGGACTGGGGACACAGGGCTCAAAATTGGAACTGGCTCTGGTCACACTATGCAGAGAATGGATTTCCTGATAGGCCCCAGAGAGCCAGGTCCACACTTCAGGATGTTTTTTGCTACCTCTTTTTCATGATTATTTCCTGTTATCTTATATTTTGGGTCATCACAAGTTGATAGGGACCAACTCCAACTCAGCCCCGTTTGGTCTCAGGGCCCAAAAAACACTCTTTTTTGGAGAAGCTATTGGTGAAATTATGTAACTGTAAATATTAAGGTCCTGCAACTGCATAAATGGTCACATAAGCCTAACATTTTGCATGGTGTATTCTGGCACACAGGGGAAAGTAGCAGAAAAATATGGGGCTTGCTGGCTTTCTACTGTCAAATATCACCCTCTACATACCTCAAAAGACAAAAAAATGTCTGTCCGCTTGACAAATTGTCTTCAAAAGTGATCATTTTCAAGCATTTTATATGCATATATCACTGCCTTAAATGTACATGAAAAACTCCCCAAGTTTATAAGCTTCAGTTTAATCCCAAGATGACCTTTCTATCTAAAGCAGTGGTCCCCACAAACAGGTTTTATATCCAACAATATTTCACTTACCGGAAGGGTTTGGGGGGGAAGTGTATGGGAGGAGGTGAGCGGTAGTTAAGTCCTGGCTAAATCCTGTTCTAGTCCTGTTTTAGATCTGTTTTAGACCCTGTTTTACTCATGTTTTTAGAACTGTTTTAGACCTGGTTTAGACCTGGTTTAGTTCTGGTTTAGAGGCGTGGCGACATATGGGAGAGGAGGACATTCCATGTGGTGTACGGGAGGAGGGTCGGTCCGCGCAGCGTACAGGAGGAGGGACAGTCAGATGGTCCATACGGTGTACGGGAGGAGGGACGGTCAGATGGTCCACGCGACATACGGGAGGAGGGATGGTCAGGTGGTCCACTCAACATACGGGAGGAGGGATGGTCAGGTGGTCCACAGCGTACGGGAGGAGGGATGGTCAGGTGGTCCACTCAGCGTACGGGAGGAGGGATGGTCAGGTGGTCCACTCAGCGTACGGGAGGAGGGATGGTCAGGTGGTCCACTCAGCGTACGGGAGGAGGGATGGTCAGGTGGTCCACTCAGCGTACGGGAGGAGGGATGGTCAGGTGGTCCACAAGGCGTATGGGAGGGGGGACGGTCAGATGGTCCATGCGGCGTACTCGAGGAGGGACGGTCAGATGGTCCACGCGGCGTACGGGAGGAGGAACTGTCTTATGATCCACGCGGCGTACGAGGAGGAGGAACTGTCAGATGGTCCATACGGCGTACGGGAGGAGGGACGGTCAGATGGTCCACGCGGCGTACGGGAGGAGGGACGGTCAGGTGGTCCACACGGCGTACGGGAGGAGGGACGGTCAGATGGTCCACGCGGCGTATGGGAGGAGGCACGATCAGATGGTCCACGCGACATACGGGAGGAGGGACGGTCAGGTAGTCCACACGGCATATGCGAGGAGGGGACGGTCACATGATCCACGCAGCGTACAGAAGGGGGGCATTGTCAGGTGGTCCACACTGCATATGGGAGGGGGGACGATCAGATGGCCCACGCGGCGTACGTAAGGAGGAACAGTCAGATGGTCCATGCGGCGTACGTGAGGAGGGACGGTCCACGCGAGGTATGGGGGGGGGGGTACGCTCTTTCGCGGCTCGGTACCAAACGACCCATGGCCCCGTACTGATCCCTGACCCCTGATCTGGAGGATAACAGCTGCGATGACTTAAGTTCTTCATTGTACCTCAAATCGGTCGAAAACAGAACTTTCAGGCATTACATTTCATATGAGATTAAGCATATTTTTTCCATGTAAACAAAATTTTAAAAGAGTTTACTTATGCACTGCTGAACTGTATGAAGTCAATTACATTAAAAGTGAATAATATTAAAACCCCAGGAGATGAGGAACTGATTTTGATGTGAACAGATTTGAACACGTGTACAGAAAAGCTTTCCAGTGGCACAATTTCTGTAAACCACTGCATTACGCATGACACCACAACAGTTTTATGAGCTGACTGATTCAAAATGGAAGTACTTAGAAACCCTATTAACTGTATCAAGTGCTTCTGGTGTGTGATTGGAAACAGAGACGGATTACAGAGCTGCCCTCCTCTCCTCATCTCTTCATCTTCTCCTCCTCTTTTCACCCCCTCTCTCTCTCTTTTTGATTAGGGACATGATAAGAGGCTCGTTCTCCCATTTCTCGCTCCATTAGTTTGGACAGTGAGCGCGCCGTGGGTCCGTCTGTTCCTCTTGTCTATTTTCAAGCCTCCTCAAAACACTGGATTTAGATCTGGAAGGATTCCCATCTTCAGACAGTGACGGAAGAGTCTCCACACGTTATCAAAATGCTAATGGACGTCAAGTGTATGTGACGTGTCGTTCTTTTAGTGCTGTGTGAAAGATTTTTTTTTTTTTTTTAAATCATGCATGAAGGAACTCGCATTGGTCATTTATCATTTAAAGGTACACAAAACTGACTCTATAATGTTGTTACCTCTTCAAAAAACAGACCTGGAGTTGTGTTTTGCTTCATTCTCACATGTTTGAGTAACTCTTTATTATTATTCTGTCATGAACTGATAATTATTGAGTTAATAGTCAAAATTATTAGCTTTAGTTCAGTATAGTTTGAGCGATTCCAGGGCTGAAATCATCCAAATGATTCTAGTAAAGGTGTATGGAGGTTAAAAACACAGTGGAGCACTTCCTGTATTAATAGGGCTGGGTATCATTAAGAAGTTGCAGATACGATGCATACCTCAATACTGTGCACTTTTGATTTGATACGATATATTTCAAATCGATTTGATACGGTACAATAAAAAATAAAGGCTAAATCATGGCTGTGATACTAAAAGTCTTTATTAAACCACTTCTTGTGCAAAGTTAATATGAAACACAAACATTTTAATCATCAAAACAGTGAAAATGTCAAATGTGTTGCATAAATGAGTTTGCTTCCTCTAAACAAGCAACAAAACTGTAGCGCTGTAACAAAATAATTTTGTAAAATACACCAAAAAATACTCTTTTATTGATACAGCAGTACACAGTATTAAACAATTAAACAATACGATATATGGATAGTTCAATATTTTTGGACACCACTATGTGTCCAAAAATTGATTCATCAGCCGGTTTCACTTCGTGGAAACCGTCTGACCTTACAGCATTAGGATTCATTCATTCGGTAGGTGCAACTTTTTTAAAATTTAACCAGTAGCTGCTATTTGGTCGTTACATATATATACGAGGATAACTGGTATATTAAGATTTTCCCAAATCCCGTAGGAAGAAGGACAAAAACGTCTTTCCCCTTGATAAAATTCACCAAACATTCTCTTTGTTCCGGCTTTAAATCCTCGATCTTGGGAATTCTTATGGCTCTTTGCTGATTGGCTGGTGCCCGAACTCGCACTTCTGGGGTTCTTGTAAAAACGCAGTGGAGCACTTCCTGTATTACCACATGACATCACTAAGTGAAACAGAGTATTTTCTGTTTGAGAGAAGAACTCATCTTAAATATCCAGGGTTTGTGTGTTAAACATAAGTGAATAAAACCAAAAACTCCAGGTCTGTTTGTGATTGAAAACAACATTATAACATTGATCAGAAAATATAATGAGTCAGTTTAAGCTCAGATGTCCAGGTAGGATCCACAACAAAAGAAAAAAAAAAAAGTTTGGGAAGACGTTTCTCAAGGCCTTTTTGAGCAATTAAAGCGCTTGTAATGAATAATTAAGATGAGCTTAATGCCGTACTGCGGAATGTTCCAGGCAAAGCAGCATTTCCAAGCGATTTTCAGATCAATGTTCTAATGTTTCCTCATCACAAACAGACCTGGAGTTGCGTTTCGTTTCATTCACACACGTTCAACACACACATTCTGCATATTGACACTGAGATCTTCACTCCCTTTCACTCTGTTCCACCTTGTGATGTCATGTGGTAATACAGGAAGTAGCTCCACTGCGTTTTTAAACTCCATACACCTTCACTAGAATCGTTTGGATCATTTCAGCCCTGGAAATTGCCGAATCACTACTAAACTAAAGATAAGAGGCAGCTGCTAAGGTGGACCAGAGAATCACAGGACCTTTTAAAATAGTCACAGATATTTGTTGAGAAAGAATTTAGTGAAAATCTATGTATAATTCAGCAAAAGATGTTCATTTTGTCTTCTTATATACTTTAACTTCTTGGGTTCTTTTTAAAGACAATACAGTAAAGTGTGTTTACCTTGTTGACATGTTTCGGCTGCTGCTGCATCTTCAGAACTGTCACAGGTGTTGGTTGCGATGTGTCGTACATCAGCTGTTGTTACTTCCTGTAGGTGTGGTCATCCTGATGGACCTGCAGGTCGCTCAGACTGACCACGCCTCCCGTCGCCCGGTGTCTCTGGAGGAGGGTGTCCCAGGCGTGTGAAAGGAGGAACGCGCCGTCATCACGGTTAACGCTGTCCGTGCCTCGTTTCCTGATTTCAATGGCCTCCTTGATCCAACGTTTGAACTTGTTGTTTTCCGATCCAATGACCCGAGCCCCGTCCCGATCCATAATGTGGTTGTTCCTTTTACAGTGGTCTGATCAAACATAGGGGAAAACAGGCCGGGCATTTCACATCCGAAAAAAGGAACACCAAAAGGAATGCGAGAAGGAAACGTCAGGGAGACTCACCAGAACACAAGAAGACAAAGCAGAACAGGAAAACTTAAAATCCGCCATATCAGACACTGTAAAAGGAACAACCACATTCTGGATCGGGACGGGGCTCGGGTCATTGGATCGGAAAACGACAAGTTCAAACGCTGGATCAAGGAGGACGATGAAATCAGGAAACGAGGCACGGACAGCGTTAACCGTGATGACGGCGCGTTCCTCCTTTCACACGCCTGGGACACCCTCCTCCAGAGACACCGGGCGACGGGAGGCGTGGTCAGTCTGAGCGGCCTGCCAGGTCCATCAGGTCTGACCACGCCTACAGGAAGTAACAACAGCTGATATACGACACGTCACCACCAACACCGGTGACAGTTCTGAAGATGCAGCAGCAGCCGAAACATGTCAACAAGGTAAATACACTTTACTGCATTGTCTTTAAAAAGAACCCAAGAAGCTATGTATAATTCTCTCTCTATAAACCATGTCCACAGTTAAACCTCTGCATTAGTTGGACTCTTGTGGATTCTCTGGGTCTGTGCTCTCTCTCTCTCTCTCTCTCTCTCTCTCTCTCTCTCTCTCTCTCTCTCTCTCTCTCTCTCTCTCTCTCTCTCTCTCTCTCTCTCTCTCTCACTCCGCCCCATTAGCCCCGTTTGGACCAGTGGCATTTGGAGACTTCGCCCTGAGCTCATCTGCTGCTTCTGTGTCTGTTAACCTTTCTCTCTCTCTCTCTCTCTCTCTTCACATCTCCACATATCAGTCACTCCTCTCTCTCTCTCTCTCTCTGCCTGTCTTCGTATGAGTCACTCCTCTCTCTCCTTCTCTTTCTCTCTCTGTCTTTCTGTCTCTCTCTCTTTCTTTCTCTCTCTCGTTCTTCATATGAGTCACTCTCTCTCTCTTCTCTCTCTACATATCCATCACTCTGCTCTCTCCTTCTCTATCTTTTTCTCTCGCTGCCTTTCTCTCTCTCGCTTCCTCTCTACATATCAGTCACTCCTCTCTCTCTCTCTCTCTCTCTCTCTCTCTCTGTCTACGACGGATTCACTTTTCTCTCTCTCTCTTTCCTTCTATTTCTCTTTCTGTCTTTCAATCTCTTTCTCTCTCTCCCTCTTCATATGAGTCACTTAACTCTCTCTCTCTCTCCTCTCTCTACATATCCATCACTCTGCTCTCACCTTCTCTTTCTCTCTCTGTCTTTCTCTCTCTTGCTTCCTCTCTACATATCAGTAACTCTCTCTCTCTCTCTGTCTGTCTTATGAGTCACTCCTCTCTCTCTTTCCTTCTCTTTCTTGTTGTCTTTCTGTCTCTCTTTCTCACTCTCCCTCTTCATATGAGTCACTTAACTCTCTCTTTCCTCTCTCTCTATATATATCCATCACTCCTCTCTCCTTCTCTCTCTTTCTCTTTCTCTCTCTACATACTACATCCTATCTGTCACTCCTTCCTCTCTTTCTCTCTCTCTACATATCCATCACTCCTCTCTCTCTCCTCTCCCTTTTTCCCTCTCCGTACCCAACACTCTCTCTCTCTCTCTCTCTTTCTCTCTCCCTGTCTTTCTCTCTCTCACTTCCTCTTTGTATATCAGTCACTCCTCTCTTTCTCTCTCTACATTTGACTCACCCCCTCTCTCTCGCCCTCTACGTATCAGTCACTCTTCTCTCTCTCCCTCTATACCCTTCACTTTCTCTACTCTCTCTACATACTATCTGTCACTCCTCTATCTCTGTTTCTCTCTCTCCACCTCTCTCTACATATCCACCTCCCTTCTCCCTCTCTTTCTCTCCCTCTACATTTCAGACACTCCCTCTCTTTCTCTACGTATCAGTCACTCCCGATGCCCTCTCTCTTTCTCTTTCTTGCTCTCACTGTCTCTCTCTCTCTCTACAGATCCATCACTCCTCTCTCTCTCTCTCTCTCTCCTCTCCTCCCCTTTTTCCCTCTTCATACCCAACACCCCTCTCTCTCGCTTTCTCTCTCTCTCTACTTATTAACCACTCCTCCTGCCCTCTCTCTCTTTCTTTCTCTCTCTCTGCTCTCTCTCTCTACATATCCATCACTCCTCTCTCTCTCTCTTCTCTCCCTTTTTCCCTCTCCATACCCAACACTCCTCTCTCTCTCTCTCTCTATCCCTGTACAAATCAGTCAGTCGCTCCCTTTCTTCCTCTCTCTCTCTACATATCCATCAATCCCCTCATTCTCTCTCTTTTTGTCTCTCTACACATCAGTCACTCCTCTCTCTCTGTCTATATAAGATATAGTTTATTTTGGATACATTTATGTTTTTCTACGCCTTATTTCATGTTCAAATTATATTTTTAATAATTTTATGTCCTCTAAGGTACAAATTTGTAGTGTGTATTTATTTTCAATTTGAAATTTTTGCGTAAATTGTCAATAACAAAGCGTTTTTTTTTAAGAGAGAAAATGTTGAATAAATGCATCATTTCAGTATTGACCAAAATAATCGTGATAATGTTTTTTTTCCCCATAATCAAGCAGCCCTAATACTACGAGTCCCATACGAATCTGCATCTCAGTGTTTGTTGTTGTAATTGTGCGCCTTTTCTATCTCTTTCTTCTTTATTGCCGCGCTCTTTTCTCTTTCAATCTCTGTGTTAATGTCACTAAATAATAGTAATTCACGGACTTTGCTTATCCCGTGCAAATGTGCTGCAAGTAACACAGAGGCGGGGCGGTAATTTGCAAATTACCAGGACGTCCCAAGGTTGTACTTACCCCGTGCAGATAAGGCTATAGTGTGGAACATTTCAGGCAGAGCAGTGACATATCCATAGAAACAAGCAGGAGACATAGTGCACCTTTAAAGGTTGTATAGAAGATTTTCCAAGGAAAGAGAAATGCAGCGACTGTTTGTCCTTTTTTAAATGTTGCGCTTCGCTCCTCTTCCCCCTTCTCTTCTTCTTTCAGCGACGTCAAAAAACAGACTTTCTTTTGTGGCTTTTTGTTATTTTGTTTTTTGTTATCATAATTACAAAGCTGCTGCATCTCTATAATTTTATTTTGAACATTCATCGACAATATGAAACAAACAAAAAAATCCTCCATGCAACCTTTAACTCTTTCCCCCTTGGACGCCTACTAGGAACAACCCACACATATATGACTAGGGCTACAAATAGAGCATAACTGCATAAAAGAAAACAGACTTCCTCAAGTGATTATAAATGATTTTTACACTCATGAACTTAATTATAACACAGACATATTTGTATCTCTGGAAACCTCAGACTTTGAACTATTCATTTATGGATGTTTAAATGTGATTCAACTCATTTACAGGTTTATAACAGCTCACTGAAAATGAGAGTTTACCTGGTCAGGTGCATAATCAAAAACAAAAAAAAACTACATTCAGCATCTGATATATGCATGTTCTGAGTACTGTATTCAAATACAAATATGTATATAAAAAAAAAATGTAAAAAATATATTTGTCAAAGTATTTAAACAGATTTCATATCACCAGATACAGTAAAGCC